TTATGTCGGTCATAAATCTCGTAATCAAGTTATGAGAGACCGTAGTTCTTCTACTTCTAAAGAAGTCATTCGATTCAATACAGCTCAAAAGACAAAATCATGCAGTTTCTCGATAAGATTTGAGCAAAAATCCATACTATACATTAGGGAGATGAAGGCTGATAGAACAATAACACCTTTTTTCTTACAGACCTTGGCGCTAAATATGCTGAAAAACTCGCAAAATCTGATTTTACCTCTAACTGCGGTTTTACGACTCACTCTTTCCAACTCGGAGGAATCCTTGATCGAATGTGTGCATATAAATATAATCGTAGTTTCCAAATTTTTGAATTAACAATTTGATCTTGTTACTTAGAGCTCTAACCTGCTTAGTAATAAGATCTTGATAGCAATTCGATCTTGTTACTTAGACCTCTAATTTGCTTAGTAATATTTTACAGCCTGCAACATATTATCGAAAAAAGCAATTCTTCAAAAACAAAGTCAAGTTTTTTATTTTCTGGTGCAGGACTTATTCACTAACAAAAGAAGAATATTGGTCACCGTAGCCATTCATACACGTATCCTAAATGCGTCTGGAAACGCTGGTTACACAAATCTGTTTTTGCTTTCTGCTTAGCGATTATCTGAAATGAGTTATAAATTTATCCGAAAATTTTGCGCATTAGAGCGCAGCCAAAATCATTGATAACTGGATTTTCGTAGACAACAATTTAGACAAGTGCGCACTTCTCCAGGAATTTTTCGAAGAGCGAAAGAAGCAATTTGGGTATTGTTCATAGTTTCAATTGGAATAGTAATATTTTCACGGCAAAATGTTCATAACTTATTTCAAACAATCGCTTAGCAGATGATGGAAGCAGACTTAAAATCAGCTCTAAGACCCCTCAGTGGTACGTGTCTCATCATTGATGGTCATATACCAAGTATCCTTCCCTTGTGAGGTAATGAAAGCTTGATATGATAACGGGAGGCCATGAAAGGAAAACCTACATCGATATCTAGTAAACAAAACACCATCTGACCATACAATAGGAGTTATGGTAATAGTGAGGCACTACTTCACTACGAAACATCACAGCCCCGGGCAAAATTTGACCCACCTCGACGAACCGAGTTGGTGTTGTCGGAACATGGTCGGGCTGCTTCTCGTCGCTCGACTAACTAAATCGGGTGACGAGCTGCCTGCTGTTGTCATTAGTTGCACCTTCGAGCCAGCCGACGAAGCCGCACAACCCATTCGGCACATCGGTCTCGGCAACAGAACCCGTAGTGTGCAGCATGAGGAGGCCGACCACATCTGGCACGAACTACATGCTCTCTTGCCTAACATTCAAACTTCTCCTCCACTTCGTGTGTTATCTACGGACGAAGCAGATGCGGATGAGCTACAAGTCACTATGGTAACAGCCCTCCGAGGACTGAGCGAAATGATAACGCCGGGATTTCGGACTATCTATCACGCACATACGATAGTGTGAACTATTCATTGGACAAATACATCACATCTTCGCAACTGTCTAAAATTAAAAAAACAGTCTGTTTGTGGCACACTGGAAGAAATGATGACAGTAAGATGGAAAAGAACAAGAGTAGTGTAAAATCTCATCAGATGGAAAAATACAGAGACCAAAGTTGAGTTGCCTTTAGGCGCTTGTTGAGGTCAACATATGGAGGTCGGTAAATCAAAGCAGCTTAAAGGCAGCGTCCAGGAAGATTTTCGACTTCCATATTTTTATGTTATCCAGGCCTTTTCTTCATGGCGCTGATTTTGAAAATGCCACTCAAAAAT